GTGAAGTTTTTTTACGCGAAAAAAGTGTAATTCTATAACGTCCGGATATAAGTGTTTCTTCAAGACGTTGGGAAGATTAACGTGAAACCTTTGTGTGTGTGTTGAGGTGTTCTGCTGTGCTTGTTCAGTGTTACTCTGTTGGAGAACATGTGAAGTTATATTGTTCTTTGGCTTGTGATTGTTCAAGAAATTGAAATGAAAAGTGATGTGTTTTTTTCTACTATTCGGAGTTAATTGAGTGTGAATTTAAGATTTCTTTTGTAATAAGATTTTCCCCTCATTAAGGATATATTTTCATAGAGTGAATTTGAATATTAAAGAGACATTTAAAAGAAATATTATTAGGTGTTGTGTTGATAATAATTAGATTTTAAAAGTTTTGTGAAAGAGTGAGTGGAATAAAGGTACTTTTGTGTATTTACATGTGGAAGATTAAACCAATTGATTGGTTGTTATTGGCAAACATTAAATTGACATGTTGGAATATATGAAATTGATGTATAATATATATGGATATGATTGTTAAAGGAGAATGAGTGAGTGAGAGCAAGTGAATGAGTGAGTGAGAGAGCAAGTGAATGAGTGAGTGAGTGAGAGCAAGTGAATGAGTGAGTGTGAGTGAGTGAGAGAGTGAATGAGTGAATGAGTGAATGAGTGAGTGAGACCGAGTGAATGAGTGAGTGAGAGACAGAGTGAATGAGTGAGAGCAAGAGTGAGTGAGTGAGTGAGAGCGAGTGAATGAGAGTGAGTGAGTGAGAGCGAGTGAATGAGAGAGTGAGTGAGTGAGAGCGAGTGAATGAGTGAGTGAGTGAGTGAGAGCGAGTGAATGAGTGAGTGAGTGAGTGAGGGCGAGTGAATGAGTGAATGAGAGTGAGTGAGTGAGTTTAGAGCGAGTGGAGAGTGAGAGTGAGAGAGTGAGTGAATATGTGTAAGTGTAAGAGAGTGTGAATAAATGGGTAAGTGAGTGAATGAGTAAAGGTGGGAGAGAGAGAAAAAGAGAGGTAGAAATATAAATTTCAAAAGACAATTTTTCATGAGTAACTCCATATCAAGCAGGATTTTGACATCTGAAATTTGTACAATATGTGCATTAAGCGATGTGAAAGTATTAATTTTTGTTTTCTTATTCCTGAAGATTCAAATTGTATCTTATTCTGGAATTTGCTGATCTGTCTTAACAAACTAACACACATTTGTCAGATGATTTATAGGTTTTGAAAGAATTAGAGATATTGACCATAATGAGCAAATGATAGAACACATGGGGTATTAGATAGGATCTGCGAAAAGGATTTTAAACTATGTTCACGAGGCAGAGTCTAGCTCAGCATTAGCCTCTTTACTCTAGTAAAGGCAAAAAAACCTTCAACATGTGTATGCTAGCAGGATAATGCATGTCAACCTCTTGGACAATTTATCCTCATGTGTCTTGCCAGATCTATTTAGATAAGGTTTGTTTGCCGTTGCTGAAGAGTAGAGGCCACAGCATTGCTTTATGTAGTCATATGTAGAGCAGCTGTGAATTACTGATGCTTAAAGAAAATATATTAGGTTTAACTGTAGTTTGCAGTCTCATAGAAAGGAAATAAATATTCTGATCAAGACATTTGGTCATATTCTTAAGCCATGTATAAATATTAATTTTCTACTTTTTGTTTCTTTTCTTTTGATTAGTAAATGACTCAACAGGATGTAATATTTTGGTTATCACGTAAAATGAGATAGTAGTAACACATATATCATTGTGCTGATAAAGTTCACTTCAGGAAAATATTTACTGGGTACTTTTTTATATGATAAGAAAGATGTCAGTTGATACTACTACTCTTATCAGGTCTCATAAAAATTTGAATATTTCTTATTATATATAAAGCCCAGATAGACAGATAGGTTGGTTGATAGATAGATAGTTAGATAGATTAGGTAAATATTACTTACAAACTTGTATTGACTATAAAAGAGATTTGATGTATAGCAGTTACTACATGTTTATATAACCTTTATGTTAACTGCTTTAGCTAGACAGGTAGATTAACTATAAGTAAAGTAGCTACATGATTAATAAGCTGCTTTTTAGATAAGAAAAATCAATCATGATTTTAAGCCAAGGAAGGAGAATTTAAAAAACAATATCTACACAGTGTATTCTTTGTATGTTTATCAAAGAACAGGGCTTGGAATTATCAGTTAATGTTGATAAGGAAAAGGAACTTGTCTTGTCACAATTCTAGATGTGATATACAGCCAATGAATATGTAACATCTGACTAGTAAACACATTAATTTGCTAGCATGAATTTGGCCAAGAAAAGACGTGCACAGCAAAAGTATGAGAAATGTAGACATGAGAAATTCTTTCTACAACAAGAAAATATAAAAAGGATTCATATAACAACAAAACAAGAATTGTTACAGATACCAGAGGAGCATATAAAAGATTCAGACAATGTCTTCCCCAATAACAGAAAGAACTCACTTTTGCTTTTGCTCTGTAGGCAGATGTTTAAGCATTAACTGAGGCTAAGTGTGCACAAGTAACAGGCCAGAGCAGCAGTTAGGGTAACCACGTCTCTCTTCATATTTTCTTGATTTCTTCTCTATCTTCTCATTATCTTCCTTCTCCTCCTCCTCCTCCCCCTCCCTCCCTCTCCTCCTGCCTCCTCCTCTCCTCTCTCCTCTCCAATCTCCTCCTCCTCCTCCTCCTCCTCCTCCTCCTCCTCCTCCTCCTCCTCCTCCTCCTCTCAATGCTCTCCCCATCTCTTCTTTTTCCCATTCTCCTTTTCTTTCTTCTTCTCCTCCTCCTCTCCTCCTCCTCCTCCTCCTCCTCCTCCTCCTCTCCTCCTCCTCCTCCTCCTCCTCCTCCTCCTCCTCCTCCTCCTCCTCCTCAACACTACTTCCCCATATCTTCCTTTTTCCCCTTCTCCTTTTCTCCCTTTCTTCTTATTAGTCTGTAATTCTCCATGTTAATAATTTTATTATGCTACTTCTCTTTCTCATTCATCTTCACCCTGCTCTTCATATTTTGATCTCTATATTTTCTTTTTTTTTTTCATATATAATTTATGATATTGCTGATTATTATTAAAACATCCATTCATTAGTATTGTTAATGATATATGATGATATTTATGTGTTGGTATTATTCTCATAATTTCATTTTGATGTTGCTATCATTTTCTTTATAATTATTAAGAAGACATTATTGTTATTGTTTTTATTATTTTTTAATGATCATCTATCTTTAGCTTTATTAATATAATGATAATGATAACTGATAAAAATTATTGTTATTATTATTGTTGTTAGTATTATGGTTATCATAAAGATGATATTTTGATGGGGCTGTTATTATGATTTATTATTGTTTTTATTACTATTATTATTTTTAGTTATTATTATTATAATAATATTATTAAATGGATTTTTTGTTGTTGTCATTATTATTATTATTATTATTATTATTATTATTATTATTATTATTATTATTATTATTATTATTATTATTATTATTATTATTATTATTATTATTATTATTATTATTATTATTATTATTATTACTTTTATTACTATTATTATTATTATTGTTGCTGTTATTATTCTATTTTATTTTGTTATTGATATTATCAATATTATTATTGTTATTATTATTATTATTATTATTATTATTATTATTATTATTATTATTATTATTATTATTATGATTATGATTATGAATTATGATTATTGTCATTGTCATTGTCATTATTATTATTTTTTAAATTATTATTGTTATTATTTTGTTTTTCTTATTATTAGTTGTTGTAGTAGTATTGTTATTGTTATTTATTTTATGATTATTATTATTATTGTAATTATAGTTGTAACTGTAATGTATTTAATAATGATGATGATAATGATAATGATTATTATTGTTATCATTATTATTAGTCGTAGTATTGTGTTTATAAATATAATTGCAATTATAGTAATAATGATAATGATAATAATAATGATAAATATTATTATTGTTGTTTTTATTATTTCACATTAGTTTTATTTTAATCATTGTTATTATTATTATTATTGTTATTATTATTATTATTATTATTATTATTATTATTATTATTATTATTATTATTATCATTATCATTATCATTATTGTTTTTATTGTTATCAATATTAATATTATTTCTATTCTTTTACTACTACTACTGTTGTTGTTATTTCTATTATTTTTATTTTTTATTTATTTTTGATATTGCTAATGATATTTATTTTGTTATTGTTATTATTAAAATTGTTATTATAATAATAATTATTATTATTATGAATATTATTATTATTATTATTGATATTATTATTATTACTATTGTTATTGATGTTATTATTGATATTATTATTATTGTTGTTGTTATTTTGTTATTATTATTAGTAATAGTATTAGTGGTATATTGATATTGTCTTTACTGTTATTGGTGTTGGTATGCATTGTTTTTTATTAATAAGTTCAATTTTTATTATTCTTGTTATTATTATTGTTGATGGTCTTGGATTATTGATGTTGATGGTACCACTATTATTGTTTTTATTCAAGTTAGTTGTATTATCAATTTTTGTTGTTTTGTTTAGACACTCAGAGAGAAGGCAGGCCGGCAGAGAAGCAGAGAGCGAAAAGAGGAAATAAGATGTAATCCAGTTTTCATAATCATTGCAATAGAGCTCTTGTAGAATATATAACAGATACTAATAAGAGATGATTAGATGGTTAGCTAGATAGATAGATTTAGAGATAGAAGCAGTAATTTATCTTTATTTTTTATTCCTGACAAAATCAGTAGGGATTCAGGTAGCTGTGATTAAGAAGTCTGTTTTACCAAAACTGACTTATTCAAAATGGGTCTATTTTAGTCATGACTGAAGAGGAAGGGTTGGGATGCAAATTATTGCATTGTTTCGGAAGCTTTTTTCAAATTATCTGTCAAATTGTCATGGTGGGGGTGGAGTGTTCCTCTGTGTCATTTG